GGATCCCTGGAAGTCTCGACCCATTCCCCAGGACCGGCTTTTCATCCTGAGTCGTTTTTCGACCGTCCCGGGGCCCGGCGAGGGCCCCCCGAGGCCGAAAAATAGGAAAAAACACCTCCGCCTTGATTTTTGTTGCTCATGCGTTGGATCTCCGGGTCCGTCTGGAGGAGCCCGCCAGTGCAGCAGGCGCTGCGGCCCTCCGCGAGGGGGCCCCGTGGCCCCCGCGCCACTGGCGCCCCCCCGGCCGGCCCCGCGGCGGCGGGCCCCCGCGACGCCGCGGGGGCCCGCCGCGGTGTGCCCCCGGGCACCCCCCCGCCATGGCCGGGCCCCCGCGCGCGCGGGCCCCCCTGGCCGGGCCCCGCCGGTCCCCGTCCCCCCGAAGCCCATGCAGGAAGAAGAAGAAGACGAACAAGAAGAAGAAGAAGAAGAAAAACAAATCCAGAAGCAGCATAATAACAGTGATATGATGCGAATAATCACATGGAGAAGAAGAAGAAGAGGCAGAAGCACAATGATACGAATAATAAGATCACGAGGAAGTAGAGCATCAAGAAGTAGAATGATGATAATACTATTGAGAAGAAGAAAAAGAAGAGGCATCATAATCATAATACGGAGAAAATGTAGGAATAATAGCAATGATAAGAAACACGCGTCGACGTCTACCTGCCCTGGAGCAGCGAAGGCGCGCGCAACTTGAAATGGATTCGCGTCAACAGAACCCCCTCACTCCGACATTATCTGTTGTACTCTGTGATGCGTGGGGAAGACATTGGGGTAACGCAACGCATGGTTCCTGCACTCAAACGGTATGCATGCTGGGTGGGCCTACAGACAGATGAAGGCGCGATGATGTCAGCAGCAACCACACTTCACTAGACAAGCTGTCCAATCCCGCCAACCCTCTGGGCGTTGGTGATGTAACGAGTTAGCTGTTCCCGCCTCCTTCTTCACCTTCGAAAGGAACTGCACCTCTCCCGTTACACACGCTCTCCCTGGCTCTGGACGGGCCCGGTCGTGAGCGGTCAGATTGCTCAAGATGGCCCAAAATACAATCATCATTTATATTAAAGACGTGTGGTGAGGACGCAAGACCCTTGACGTCGAAGTTGGGGTTTTTCGGGCGGCAGGCGAGAGGCAGAGGCAGGCAGGGACCCAAGGGCACCCTGGAGCAAGGCGCGCGTCCTTACCATGGGTTTTGATTGTAGACCAAGATGGCGTCCAAGATCTCACAGGATAGCCCAAGACGTCCTCCAGCATGCCTCCGAGAGGCGACATGGCCGGTGTAGGACGGCGCCAGGTCGCCAGGCAACCTTCCAGGAACCCTGCCAACGAGCCCCTGGAGCAAAAAGTCCACAAGGCATGCATGGTTGATCTTCCTCCTCCTCCTCCTCCTCCTGCTCCTCCTCCTCCTCCTGCCTCCTCTTGCTTCCTCCTCCTCCTCCTCCTACTCCTCCTCCTCCCCTGGCGCTCAATGTTTTGGGAGGGGGGAGGGGGCCTCCCCTGAAACATGGAGCGCCCCTGGAGGAGCCTCCCACGAAGCTCCCGGATCGAAAGGTCAACGAAGGCACGCATGGCTAACAGTAGGGGCCCGACCCCAAGAAACCTCCCACAAGAATCCCAACCCTGAGACCCCAGGAGGTCTATCGATTTTTGGTGTGGGAACGTCACGAAGCCCAAGAAACCAAGGGGACCCTGGAGGCGAGCAGAGTGTCTCTTGGCATGGGCCCCCACTGTACTCCTGGGCCTGCTCAGGCTGATCCTGATACGCGTTCAGGTGGACGGGCTGCCCCCCTCATTGTTCTACTCCGTGCCCCCGTGCTTCCCTGAAGTGGGCATCCGTGCTGGACGGGCTGGCGGGAAGACGCGAAGCGTCACGTTCAGATCAGCTTCTGGGCGGGCGTCAGTCGATACCGCTTGATATATGTCTATTTTCGTACGCGCAGGTGTTGGGCAATCAACGGACATTAGGGATGATTGCGCTGGATATGACGCCCTGCATTATTTTCATGTTACTTGCATCTTCGCAAGCGGGGATTGGGAAAAACTGCACTTGCTTGGCCACGTCTTCCACTACCGGATTCCTCTTTGCCGCATCCATGTGCCCATCCAGGAATAAGACGAGGACCTTTTTGCCCATGTCGAGGCCCATTTTCCACTCTACAGGACTGCCCCACTTCTTGTGGCTGGTTTCGCATGTGCAGTCACAGACCCCCAAGACCGTCGAGCACCAGTCCATCTTCTCCTTGATAATATCACTAAACATGGGGTCGCCAGCGCTACCAGATCCAGCGGGAATGTCCTCCATTGACCAGATACGGGCGTGGGGCAAATGATGCAACACCATGCCCTTGATAGCCAAGGCCCTGGAAGTTGTTTGGCCCGTGTGGCTCAAGAATCCGCCACCACGCCTTCGGCACGATTGGGTGTATTAGAATACTTCTCTGCTGCCTGCCAGAGTTTCTGTGGTGCTGTCAAGGCCCGCCCCCTTCCCCCAACCGGGTCGCGCGTCTTGAGAAAATTGCCCACATCTACTTTTGTTTCTCCGACGGCAATGAAGATGATGATGACAATGACGATGACGATCGCCATCGTCATCGTGCTTTCTGTCGGCTTCCAGACGGCTCCAAGACAGCCAGAGGATATGGCGAGAAGGCCGCGAGACGGCCGAAGCCAATCCGAAGACGGCCCAGGGAGCCTCGAGACGGCCCAGTGTGGCCCCAGGAAAGCCCAGCATTGCCTCAGAACGGCCCGAGAGGCCCCCGACAAACTCGCCGCCAGAAAGCTCTGGGGCGAGGGGGGGAGAAAGATGAGCAGCGAGGCCGGTTGATGAGAAGCATGCCCTGGACCTGGGGAGGAACGGGAGAAGGAGGGGACGGGCGGGAAAGGATTAGAACAAAGGAGACTAAGGAAGGATGCGAAAGGGGAAGGACGACTACGATCAGGCTGAGGACGATGAGGGATAACCACCACCCCAAGCGAAACAGACACGGAGCTGGACTGAAGCGGATCTCGAACTGAAAATCAGTGGTGGGAGCTTCCGCAGGCAACTGGATATCCTTGGCGACTTCAATTTGCGAATGCCCGCCCAAAAGCAGCAGCCACCACGTGCTACAGCAAAACAAACTAGCACCGCTGCACAGGAGTGACAACCAAGGCCCACTGCTGAGGCAGTACCCATTCGATCAGACTCGATGGCCTCTCGGCATACTCCCTCAGCCACGCACGCCTTCGATGTCTCATTGGAACTTACTGCTAAATTGTCGTCGGTCTTCCTGTGGATCCAACCTGCCCTCTGGGCGAAGGTGGATTAGAGCGTTTCCTCTTCCACCTCTCCCTGTCCCCTTCGGGGAGAGGTGTACCCCTCCCCCTTTTACACACCCCCCCCACCTGGACCTGGAGGGGTGCGGTCGCGGGTCGTTGGGGCGTCCAAGATGGCCCAAGATGGCTCCAAGAGGGCATCAGAAAGACGAAGATGACCTTCAAGATTGCCCAGAATCTCCCAAATTGAATCAAGATGGCTCCCAAGATGCTCCAATAGGCCCCACTACCGCTTCAAGACGGCTCCAAGCGGCCACGGATGATCCCCAGGAGGCCGCCAAGAAGCCAACATCCTTCAAACACCAAGGGCCAAGTCAATGAGTTGCGCCTTCTCGCCGTTTCGCTCCCGATGGCCTTCCAAGGCCTCCAGGCAGCCCCAAGCGGGCCCATGAGGGCTCCAAGAGAAGCCCCATGGGGCCCCAAGACGGCCCCAAGAGCGCCCAAGAGCGCTCAAAGAGGGGCCCAAGAGCTGTTTTGGGGGACCCCCGAAGGGGGGAGGCGAATTGAAGCTCCCCACTTCTCTGGCCGATCTCTTCCCAGATGGCCCCAAGAGGCGCCTAGGATGCCCCGAGAGGCCCCAAGATGGCCCCAAGATGGCTCCAATCTGGCCCACAAAAGCCCCCAGGAGGCCCCAAAGAGGACCCCAAGCGGCCCCAAGAGGCCCCCCCGAGGCACCTAAGACGCCCAAGAGCCCCCCAGGACCGCCGAGAGACCCCCAAGACGTCCCAAGAGGCCTCCAAGAAACGAGATATCCCAAGAGGCTCCGAGAGTCATCCAAGAGACCTTTGACCCTCTTGCTTGCCCTCTTCCTCCTGCTCCTCCTTCCTCCTCCTACTCCTTCTCTTATTCCTCCTCCACATCATCATCCTATTCATCGTCCTTCTTCCCACTCCCTCTTCCATCCATGCAGCCTCCTCCTTATCTTCCTTCCTCATTCGCACGGTTCGGCCGTCCACCTCTTTGCTCCCGCACTTCCCTGATCACCTCGACTCTCCTGGACAAAGCTTCTGGATGGGCCGGTGGGGATGCCCGAAGCGCTTATGCTATATAACTCAACCATGCCTTGACAGACATCGCACTCGTGCATCTTCAATGCCCAACAATCTTGATATCTGTTGCTAGTACCGTTGAGCTCTGCCAAGAGAGCTCTTCGCGCCCGGATCTGTCGATTGTCGAGGCCGTCGTCATTGTTCTCCTGTGTTGCACGGCTCTGGAATTGCTCGATAGCCAATGCCTGGCAATGCACGGCGCACATCAACAATTCATCGCTGTGCCGGCTGATTGATTCAATTGCGACCACTTGGGCTCCATCGATCACACCATCAATGGCATGAATGTCGAAGGCAGCCAAGCCATCACTTTTGTCAAGCATGTGAAGGCGTCGGTCTGGAAGGAGCCCGCGCATTACATCTGGCAGAACACGAAATGGGCGGCTCAGCGTCGGGCCCTTAGTAAGGAGGACAATTTGCACATCAGCTTGCGCGACTACTTTGGACACCAACAACTGCACCTGGGAAACCATGTCGTCGACGAGACGTTTCCATTCCGCAGGCGGAAATTTAAGCAATAAGTTTCTGTTTGGCAGGCCGAAATGACCCGCGTTGACAGAAAAACTATCGATTGGAGCATCGCTTTCACATACTCTGTTCCACAAATGAAATTCCGACAACTGCAGCCCAACAGCTGTCAAGTTGATGCCGTGATGCTCCTCAAGAAGTAGGCCAATGCGTTTCGTCACCTGCTCCCTGAGGGAAAACGCGACGGATTCCTCGCCCGCGTCGACACTGAAAGACTGACCCGCCAGATCGGCCATCCGCAACGACATGCCCGCCTCGCTCACGCCAAAGGCGGCGACTCTTCCATGGAGCCCTGGCAAGGCCGACTGGAGCGCAGCGAGCTCCATGGCTGAACCTGAAGGCTCCCGCACTACCTCGTCAATGGTTGCGCCGACCTGCCGTGCCGCCTCGTCGAGCAGATCTCTCAGACCACCGCTGCCCAGGTGCGCAGGCACTCCCGTGGAAATCCTTCTGCCCGTCGGCGAATCCAACAAGTCTTCGAGGGAATGGAAAGTGTCATTGTAAGACGTGGCCAGGGCCCCCACGTCATCGAACAAACATGGGTTTTCCGATGTGAAGAAGCCATCTGCTGCGAAGCAACCCTTCAAGAGTACGATGGGCCAAAGCTGCCGTGCCATAGCCATGTCCAACATCAAATGCGCAAGTGGCAAGTGAATGCGCACACAAACACACACACACACACACTCACACTCACAAAGGTCTCGGAATCCTTGGGCCGCAAAGGCTACTTGAAACAGTGGCATCGCACCGCCTTCAGAGCTCTCAGCTTCGACGAATGGCCGTGCGGACCTCGCAGTCGCGTCGTGCACCTGCATGGGAGCGCCTTTGTTGTTCAGGGAGGCGAAGAACAGACTGGGGCGCGCCTTCAGCATGTCAGCTGCGGGGTGCGCTCGGACGCTTGCGCATCGCCGACCAAGGCCACGCTGCCTCGCAGGCGCCCCCTGGGTGGACCCGGTGCCACCTGCAGCTATGGGGGCACCGTCGCAGCCCCAGCGAAGGCTCCAAGCGACATCGGACAACGAGCACCCTCTTGCAGTCGTGCGAGCCGGCGCAGGCCGCAGTGGCGCATTGGACGTTCGCTTGCCCAGGGGGAAGGCCGCACCTCTCATCCTGCGCTGCGCCTCTCCCGGCAATTTCTGAAAGGACTGCGTCCAGCGGGCCTTGGCTGGGTGCCGAGCATGACAATATCAGTGGGATGACGATGACGCGAGCCCCCTTCTCAAGGAACAGGCAGGATCCTGGACAGACATGATACCAGAGAAGAACCCCAATCATAATCTTTTTATGGCTATGGGGCTATAGGGCTACAAGGCTATAGGGCTATAAGGCTCTGGGCCTATCGGGCTATATGGCTACAGGGCTACGGGGCTGCGGGGCACCCGGGCACCTGGGCACCCGGGCACCCGGGCACCCAGGCACCCGGGCACCTGGACACCCGGGCACCCTGGCACCCAAGCACCCAGGCACCCCGGCACCCGGGCGTGCCGCGGAAATCGGCGCCACAGCTAATCTAACCAGATGCATCCGTTAGGACCCCTACACTCACAGGTAAGGCAAGCTCTGCTTGGGGAACATTGCGACTCCCCCCGCTACTGCACTGACATGAATGGAGCGAGGGCGCTTGTAGACAATCAGCTGGGCAAGGACATCACACGTGCTCTCCACCTATAAGTCTACACATGCAGGGAGATAAAAGAGAGAGAGAGAGAGAGAGAGAGCGAGACACACACACACAAAACAGCCACAGAGACGGAGGGAGAGAGAGAGAGAGCGAGAGTGAGAAAGAGAGAGAGAGAGAGAGCGGGACAAGGGCGGGGACAGAGACAGGCGGGGTGCAGTGACAGAAACGAAGCGCAGTTCAAGCTGGCCCTCCCGCAAAAGATGCGTGCCCCACACCACATGGCCCGGACCGCCCGGCGCGTGCCCCCCCCCACCGAGTGGCCCATGGGCCGGCTCGGCCCATCCGCGCAGCTCCTGCCAGCCGCTCTGCGCCCTGTCCACCGCTGCCCGCCGACCACCTCAAGTGGTCTGGAGCAGAGGAGGAGGAGGGCGCCCAGCCCGACGCGCGGTCCCATCGCGCTGGCAGGCGCGCCGAAACCATCTCGAACGCGTGAGGTCCGTGTCGAGTCCGCGTCGAATCGTCGGGCCCACGCCGACCCCGCGGCGCATCCGCGCCGAATCAGCGGCGGACACCGTGCCAGGTACAACAGAAAACGCCCTCGAACGAGGGACAACAACTGCGTAAACATATACCGTGCGGGCGCGGCCGCAAGACACCCTCGCAAGAAACCCAGCCCTGAGAACCCGCGCGCGAGGTGCACTGGAGGGGAAACCCGGAGCACCCTGAACGCAGGAGCTCCTTCAACGGCCGCGGGAAGGCGCCGCGCAGCGCGAGCAGCTGAGAAACCCAGGATGCCCTGACGAAAAGCACGTGGTTCCTTGATGCGCG